TGATCAGAATGTTCAAGTGCACCTTGCAGAGCATTCTATATCGACAGACGTCGAAACCACTGCTCTCGGTCTGCTTGCCGATCTTCTAAAATTGGATCGGCACAACTGGAATAACGGAACGTTTACCACTGGGGCCACGGCCAGCAATGTTCATGGATTGGCTTGCGGGAGGGAGTTTATCCTCCGCGCTGCTGCCAAGAAGAGTGGAGTCGATATTGAAAGCGTTGGTGAATATGGCTTGTTCGAAGTCATTCAAGCTACTGGAATCTCTGGTGTCCAGATTCTCTCAACTATGCCTCACTCTTCGTTGGCAAAGGCCGCTGGAATCCTTGGCATAGGTCGTGCCAACGTTAAGAGCATTTGTCGGAAAAATCATTACCTTCAGATCGATTTTGAACGACTTGAAGCAGAGCTGAAAACCAATAAGGCGAGTATCGTCGCTGTCTCCTGTGGAGAGGTCAATACTGGACACTTTGCGACGTCAAGCTTGGCTGAAATGAAAAGCCTGCGTAGCCTCTGTGACAAGTACGGAGCCTGGCTTCATGTCGATGGTGCCTTTGGAATCTTTGGCCGGATATTGAACGCTGCCGAATTCTCTTCTATATCAAAGGGTTGCGAAGGTATGGAGCTAGCAGACTCCATCGCAGGTGACGCTCACAAATTCCTCAACGTGCCATATGACTGTGGCTTTGTCCTTTGTCGCCATCCTGGTGAGGCTGAGAAGGTTTTTCTAAACGCAAATGCGGCCTACTTGTCTGGGGGGCAGTCTGGAGCGCTCTCAATACCTTCTCCACTAAACATCGGTATGGAAAATTCGAGACGGTTTAGAGCGCTGCCGGTGTATGCCTCACTATTGGCATATGGCCAGGTTGGGTATCAGGAGATGCTACAGAAGCAAGTCCGGCTTAGTCGAATGATCGCAGGCTGGATATTCGATCATCCTAAGTACAATGCTTTGCCAGAGTTGGCAAGCAAGGATGAGTTGCAAGACCAGACCTACATCATAGTGCTGTTCAGTGCAAAGGACGACGAGTTGAACGACAACTTAACCAAGAAGATAAATGCGACTTCTAAGCTTTTTGTGTCTGGAACCTCCTGGCAAGGAAGACCGGCTTGTCGCATCGCAATCTCAAACTGGAGGGTGGAAGAAGAAAGGGACTTTGCACTTGTGACAGATGTCTTGGACAACGTGGCTGGAAGAGTATAGAGATATGACACGGTTGGGCTTATGCTTGATGTCTGCTTTCATGGTACAATTTAATCTTAATATATACTAGCTATGCTTGTAATTGGAGGTTGAGGTTGTTTCACTTCATCGCTTTTGCAGACTTAGTGACATTTACCAGATATTACTAAACACCCCAGTTGTGCAATGAGTACTTTGTTTACCATTACCCGATGGAAGACCAATTAGAATTTCGCCACATAGTAGTTCGTACGTACTATTCGTCTTTGCTCTCCAATGTCTTTTTGCCCATTGTTAGATTCCATGGATGGCGATGCGATGACTAATCTGACATGATCATCTGCGAGACAAATGCTCCGGCTCTTCTCTCCTTCATAAGCCTGCTGGTAACCCGGCAGCCTGGTGCCGTAATGATAAGGTTTTCTTTGCATCAGTCATAATGGTATATCGCGGGAGGCCTTCCAAATCGTGCCGGGAGTGCCGCAAACGAGATATCAAAGTATGATGATTCCTACTCTTCGACTTCATGACTGAGCCAGGCTCACACCTCTCACTAGTGCGATAAAAAAGAAGATGGCTGCTCCCAGTGTTCCCGCGCTGGCCTAACATGCTCTGGTTACCAGAAGTCAACAGATTTGTTGATACTTGATGAGACCTCTGCTACGGCTGGGAGAGTACTGAGGAAGCGCTCTTTAGATCATCCAGTTTCTTCAGGGCCTCTATCAACGAACCTTCTCCCGACAGTATTACAACGCGCAAAACACCTATATATCTCGCAATATGTGCAAGGCACACCTGCAACGGGCATATACTCATATATGCAGGTCTTTTACCCATCCAAGTCAGACGACTATCCTCTTCTCGAAACCATGATCAATGCGCTTTTCATGGCCACGTTCTCGTCGCTGCAGGGATATCCCCCAGCTCTCTATCATGCTCGAAACAGCTATGGATCAGCTCTGTCTTTGACTCGAAAAGCGATCCAGTCACGAAAAGAAGCTTTGTTGGATAGGACTCTATTCTCGGTGTTGCTCATGAGTATATTTGAACGCCTCGCCGACGTAGAAAAACGAGGGTTATGCATTCGCAACGGACATCTAAAAGGTGCCATTGAGCTGATGGCCTTGAGGGGGAATGGCCAATTTACAGACGATGGGGGCGCTAAGATGTTTTTGCATCTAACCGAGCTTGTTGTTCTTGATTGCCTTGCCAATGAAGCTGATATTCCACTTCAATTCTTAGCATTGCGACAGCAAGCTCTTGAAGCCGGTGCAGACACATCGTCACCAAGGTGGAGATTCTTGGAAATCATGATGCGTTATGCACAGTTGGATCATACCGCGAAATCTTCCATTTCTGCGGAAGGCGTCATTTATCAAGCCAAGGCACTTGACGAAGATCTTGATCGATTGTCTAAATATCTGCCTTCTTTCTTCTCGAGAAGGCAGAGCCCTGAACCCCCAAGCATTTCGTCAACCAAGCCGGACATATATCCTGACTTTAATACACAGAGGTGCTGGAACAACATCCGGGTTCTCCGTATTCAGCTACTGAAACTCATACGCGAGCAATATGCTCGGGTGTTAGGAAATTCCGCCAATGATTCCTGGGCCATGGCCGAACTTCATGAGTCTATCTGCCGAATGCATTCCCTTGCTACAGACATGTGCCTCTCCATACCTGGTACAGGGGCTAACAGCAGGCTTCCTTATGAGGTCTCCAATATCCAATCGGCAACACTCTTGTTTCATCTATATGTGGCCAAAGAAGTTTTTGCAAAGCCAGCTCAATCGAGGCTGTATATTCATGAGCGATTACAATTCGTGAAAGAGAAGCAAGCTCCTTCACAGCATAAGACACTGGATTATTTGCTACATGATGGTTATCAAATGCCGCGAAACACTTGGAAGATGTGGCTTTCAATAGGAAGAGAGGATTTTTCTATCTGATTCCGGGGTCGTTCCACGTGCATTTGCCCGGCCTAGTACTCGTTCAGCTTCATTGCCGCAGGCGGAAACCTCTCCCCTGCGACTGGATACTTCTCCTGAAGGACTGCAATCTGTGCAAGGTCATCATCAGTCAAGTCGACATCCTTCACGTTCTCAATAACCCTGGATACAGATCTCGCACCCGCAACCGGGACAAAAAGCGGCATTCCAGGCTTTCTGCTCTGCGCTTTAACCCACGACAAAGCCAACTGAGCCGGGGTGCACCCCTTCACAACCGCAATCTTCTCCAATTCATCAACAAGCAGACGGTTCTTCGCAAGATTATCGGCCTGGAATCGAGGAAAGAACCGATGATGATCGTGCGCCGGCAAGTCATCAGGGCTTTTAATCGCGCCAGTCAACATCCCCGCTCCCAGCGGTGTGTGCGCTATGATGGGGATACCAAGCTCCGCGCACGTTTCTGCGACACCATTACGGAAAACATCCATAGCCCATATGCTCACCTCCGCCTCCAGCATATCAATCTTCGCAACGCTCGCCGCACGGCGAATAGTCTCGGCTTTTACCTCCGACAGTTGAATACCTCCAATCTTACCCTCCTCCTTCAACTCAGCTAGTGCCTTGATGCTCTCTTCAACTGGAACATTGGGATCAACTCTCGCACAGCCGAAAATGTCGATTTTCTTCTTGCCGTTCAGAATCTTCAGGGCGTTGTCCACGAAGCCGCGAAGTCCGGCGGGAGAGCAGTCCATAGCGAAGGTCTTCATGCTCGCAACGCCGGACTTGATCGAAAGGACTACCTTGTCTGCGTCCTCAGGATAAGCTGTGAAGTAGCGATTCATGAGGTACAATGAGTTGTTTTCGGGTGTCCCGTAGAAGTCTGCTCCGTTCCATACATTGACGCCAGCTGCCAGCGCTGCCTTGAGGACCTTGAATGCTTGTTCATCTGGTGTCACGTCGTCCGACAGGGTGAAACCTGCGGTATGCTTTTATTAATATAGGAGCTTTTCCAATGAGAGCTCAAGTGCCAGACAAGCCCCTAGACCAAACTAAACACAAAAAGCAAAGAGAAGGGAACGAGGGAGGACTCACGCATAAGCCCCAACCCGTTCTGGGTTATTTCCTTTCCAGCGAGGAACGGCATCGCTAGTAACTAGTAATGAAAAATCAAGTTCGGCCAGATGTATTAACAAGATGAGAAATAGTATCCAATGACGGTTGAAGACAAAGCAGGCTAACGGGTCACTGTATAGTACAATTATAGTATCCAGTAAAGGGAAACCGCGCAGCCAAACTACTCTCTTTGGTGCTATTGTAACAACCAAACCCCTCATTATTGTATAATAACCACCCTTTATATACCCGCGATTTCTCAGCCATCAGATTCTACGACTTCCGGAGATAATTTGCGTGTAAGTCCCTCCATCCCCGGCGTTTACGAGTAAAGTCCGGGAGCAATGCCGTCATTACCAGTTGGTTACCCGATTAGGTTTAGTGGAATGGAGAGCCATCGGGTTGGACATGTAAATTGTTCTTGTTGATATGCAGATGCGGTGAATTGTTTTGTCTAAGTTGGATTGAATGAATGATCTAGGTGCTTAATTTGCACACTGTCATTGTGGTGTCGATAGTCTGGTGTTATTTGTGGACTGGGTGCTTGGGTTAGGCCCAGGTTCAGGAAATAAGTTGTTGCCGTTCCTCTAATGTATATTTCTGTCCATAAAGATAATACTACTCAAACTGTGTTAGATAACTTCGCATTGCTGACACTGAAAGGACTAGACCCAAGCACATGTCCAGTAAAAGTCAACACAGATGAAGGGTACTAGTTCGTGAGAATTCGTAAAAGCGATACGAAAAAGCCAAAAACGTTTTAATCTAACTATCCAAGGTATATGTTTATCACCTGCGTCTTCCAGCACCGCCAACATTGTCACCCCGATCAGCAATGCTAACAACCTCTCCAATACCAGCTTCTTCCTGCTCATCCTCCAGAGCCATGACTTCTTCTCTGCTATCCCACCACTTCTCTTCCGCCATGTTAAATGCATCCTTCCGCAGCTCCTTGATGTTCTTCTCCGTGGCGATGCCCTTCTCTTTCAATGTCTCCAACAGGATACGCTGCCAGTCCTCGCCTGTGCGGCTAAAGTAGTCACGCAAACTTTCAAACGGACGAGGCAGAGGTCTGCTGTCCTGCACAGATGGCTCACCCTCTTGCTCCTCCACTTCCAGGTTCTCCATCTCCTGGGTGACAGAAGGCACGGTTACTTCCGTGGGGGCAGGAGAACCAGTGTCCAGCGACATCGCGTCCTCCTCTTCCTCCTCGTCTTCGAGATCCTCCTCTTCATCGTCATCCATCTCTTCGTCGCTGTCTGCTTCGTTGAGAAGGTGCCAGTTGGCGGGCTCGTTGTAGAAGATCTCCTTGACGCCATCGAGCTTGACGAGATCAATCGAGTACATGTCGTTGAAAGTGAATTCCCGATCTCCCTTCTCGAAAGTACCGCCAAAGATGTACAAGGTATCATCTTGAACGGCCAATTGCGCGTTGAATCGCTGGTGAGGCATCTCGAAGCGCACGATCGCAGGCTTCGCTGGCTCCTCAGGCTCTTCTTCCTTGGGTGTCTCCGGCTGCAGGTCATCGTCCTCCTCGCGGCGAATACCCTTCTTAGCCTCAAGCGCCTTCAAATTCTGCAGAAGCTCCTCCTCATCAGCCTTACTGCGGTCCTTAGACTTCATCTGGTTAGCGAGCTGCTTCTTGCCTGGCGCTCTGGGCCGGCGGAGCGTCAAGGGGAAGAAACGGTTCCGGTCGGTGTTCCAGGCGAACATGGTGTCGAAGAATTCACTGTCAATGCCTTCCTCACTCAATTCGACATCGTGGACACCACCGAACATGATACCACGTCCCTTGTGATATGCCATCGTAGCACCGGCACGGGGAGGGTTGGGAGAGTTGGCGGGCTTCTTCCGGCGCTCCCAGCGGACGGTGGGCGCAGCGTTGGCAGGAGCTTCAGGGCCCGGGGGAGTAACCCGGAGGAACCAGGTGTCCTGGTGCACCATGGGCTTCATGGTCATGCGCTGAGGACCACCCTTGACGGGCTTGCCGTTGATTCCTGTGGCCGCTTTCACACGGGAGTATCCACCGTAGAGAACGGCACCGCTTTCGTGCGGCAGGAAGGAGAAAGAAGACCGGGGATCGGGCTTCTGGGATGCGGTTGGGAGCGTGGGGTTGAACCATGTGTACTTGGAGCAGTCGTAGATCCACATGTCTTGGAGATACTTGGTTTGTTGCGAGGTGTCCTGGAATCCACCAAAGAGGATAATGTAGTTCTGCTTTTTGGTTAGTTTCAATTTAGATTTCCTGGACAGGATAAAGTACAGACCTTGTAGTAAGTCATTCTGTGACCACTTCTGGCCGGGGGACCCTTGCCCTTGGAATCCAGACGGGTCCATTCCCTTGTCGAGGGATCAAGGTGCCAGAAGTCGTTGTAGTGATAGAAGGTACCCTGCTTGGGGGAAGAGAACTCTCCTGTTCCGAATATCAGTACACTGGAAAATATTACAGGCTTGGTCTGAGCCATATACTTACCACCGAACAGGTAGACACCTCCCGTGTTGCCACCACGACACCAAGCATGTCCACTGCGAGGGAGTGGACTATTAGGACTGGTGACTTCCCTCCACTCCGCGCGGTCGATATTGTAGACGAAGAGGTTATTGAAGAAAGTGGCAAGATTTCCATCAAAGTACTCTCCACCAAAGACCAGCAGTTCATTGCGATTGGAAGGAGAAGCCAGAACAGTTGCAGATGACCGAGGTGTCGGCGGTCCTCCCACAACCTCAGTGACCTTCATGAACTTCGCTTGTTCCTCAGCATATTGCGCAAGGATGGCGTCCAAGTCGGCATCTTCGACATCACTGTCGGCATCCTTGTTCTTGCCTTTGCCCTTCTTCTCCTTCTGAGCAGCCTTCTTGTTCTGTTTTGCTGCTACACGCTCCTTGTGCTCGGCGGACTTCTTGTTCTTCTTGCCCATGGTGGATGAGCTTGAAAGATACGGTGTGGACTTTTGGACTCTTTTGTGGTTTCTATGAGACCGAGGGGATGATGTGGAGCTTGAATGTTCACTTCAATTATCACCCTCTTATCGGTGGAGTTATGGAGTTGATATTCTATTTACTACAGATTCTCTCCATTCAGCGCGGGGTTTTTCTGGGCCCAGAAAAAAATGTCGGCATGAAGCCCCTCTTATTTTACCGTGTAAAACGGATACCATGATCTATGAGTGACCAGGCTCTCATGTATAATTGGGAGTACAGGAGGCCGAATAAAGCACATACACACATAGCATATATGTCATAAGTGCTTATTGAACCGAATTAATGACTCCAGCATCGCCTGTGCGTCTTATGCCCATATGCTATGGTGTTATGCGATGATGATGTTTTCACGGTCTGGTATTGAAATATGTTATCATAGAAGATCATTCAGCGTCATAAGTCAGACTGACAACAGCCAATGCTGTATAATGTCCTCTGATACTATGCGACTATTGCAATATTGCGGCAATCTTGTGAGGCATATCGTCGCATGCCATTGCCTTGACACCAACGATGCTACTCAGCCTCGAAGAGGGTAAGTAATACCGAGTATCATTATTGGGAGTGGCATGAATTATCTATGTCCTCACCGCCCACGTGATGACGCGCCGGAACGCGTCCAGACAAGGCCGTGGATTAACCGGACTGAAAGCAAATGAATAGACTACTAGTTGCTCGGCAGCTAGTCTAGACGCCCTTTGTGATTGTTATGTTGCGACTCGTCAATGAAAATCATGCTCACAAGCATACGGCCTTATGACTAAAAACAATTTAGCAGCCCACCTCAAATGGCTGTTGCAGCAGGGCCCTGCGCTATACCCCTCCTTATCTCCGTCCGCGCACGAGTATCACAATAACACTGCCGACCGAAATCAACCTACTGCGCCGGTGCCACCAGCGGGGGCCTTAGCGCACCAGCCAGAGGATATCACCATCGCGATCAATGATTTACAACCAGAAGCCAAACCAGCAGACACGGGCCATGTGGACGGAAAAGCGGAGGTAGATTCGGACGAAGAAATGGCGCGATTGCTTCTTACTCCGGCCTCCGCACGCAAGCCGCGGATGCTGAGTCTATCAAAGGACGCTGGCGCACCCACTCCGAAGCCTCTCAAAAGTAGCCAGTCTGTCAATTCGCCCTCTAAGGGAAGAGAGAATGGCCTGGGCAGAGTTATCAAAGGTATAGTGAAATGGCGCGCCTGTCGTTTTTGCGGATTTTCTAACAACTTACTCCAAATAGACAAGCAGAGTCCCCGGTCTCCATTGCGCAGCCCTAAGGCGTCTTTCCTGACACCATTTGGATCGAAGCGGCCATTGAACGCAAATTCACCGCTCTTCGATTCCGACATTGATACGATTGACTTGACTGGCGACTTGAATCAGACCACGCTTTCGTCTGATACTTTCGATGGGTTCGAGGAACCGCAACGATTGTGGACCGAAGACGCTGCATCCCGGAGAGAGCCTCTCGAAAAGCGTGGAAAGAAGCGAAAGAGCGACGAATATGTGTCAGACCTTGTTTCGCCCCGAAAGAACGGCTTGAAATCGCGCTCGCCATTGAAGGCTGCTGAGCCTACGAAGACTCCCCGTTCTACCTCGACGCGTCTTCAGCCCGGAAAATCACCTCGCACGACCAGGAAGGACACTATACCCCGAGCTGATGATCCATCGGGCCTTCCTCCGCTTTCACAGAGTTCTCGCTTGGGTCATGTTATCGCTGACTCCGATGACGACGACGGAGATGAGAATCTGTTCGATGACTGGGTTCCTGATGGAGTCGGCCCAACATTGAACTCCAATGAATCACTCTACCCGATCCTACCTAATCAAGATAGCTCAGATGAGCACGCAGCTCCTAGCCCTGCGAGAAAGAAGAGTCGTGCTTCCCCACGGGCGTCGGATGCTATGGATATCGTCCCCTCCAGTGTTCGTCCATCTAGGAAGGACACCCGCATCAGTCCTAGTCCAGTCACTCATGTGCCTTCTACTACCGATTCTCCCAGCTCTCAGCCTCAGAACGAAGATGTGGCCAAGTTCTTGAGTCTTTCAGCAGACTCTCTTGAAGGAGCCATTGCAACCCTGAAGAGCACTCTTACGAAGAATTCTGAAATAGTGTATGAGCGAGCAATGAAGGGAGAACTTGCACCTGACTTGATCGCTGAAAACAAGACCCTTACGGATAGGATCGAAGCGATTGGTTTGCTCAAGCAGCAAAGGACTACCTATCAGACATATGATACGAAGAGGAACATGCTCAAGAAAAGACTCATGCAGGTTATAACACAGGGCGGCGATCCGTCCGATATGCCAGAACTTGTGGAAAGTCGAGAAGCAACAACTCAGCTGCAAAGGGCTGAATCAGATATACAACATCTGCTAGCACGATCTAGGTTGCTGTCTATTCCATCACTGGATGCCCGCCCACTTCGTTACAAGCCAGACCATCCGACCCCTTTGTCGCGCCCATCGTCTTTGTCAATCAGTGCAATGGATGACACAGTAATTTCGGGCGCCTCCTCGCGATCGAATGCACGGTCAACAGTAGGCTACAACCACTCTCGTTCTGACATATCCACTCGGGTATCAGATCTGTCTTTCAAGAACACGAATGGGACCTCGAGTCTTAGGGCTTTTAACTACGATGACCCGACGACACTGGATGACGATGATGCTTTTACTCGAACTATGGGCTCCCCCACGCTACCTGCAGAAGAAGCGGATGAATTCGACTTAGATGACGAAGACATGCTGGAAGCTGCCGGGTTCCTTGATGAAGATCATGCATTCGCAACCGACAACCACGGGCTTCAGAACCGCAAGGTGTTTGCTGAAACTTCCGGAAATGTTTCGCGCACTCCCCTATCACAACCAAAGTCCCAGGGCCATAACGCCCTCTGGAACCAGCATCCATGGTCCAAGGACGTCAGAAATGCGCTGAAAGATCGGTTTCATCTTCGTGGGTTCCGCCTCAATCAACTCGAGGCCATTGATGCGACGCTGAGCGGAAAAGACACATTCGTTCTGATGCCTACTGGAGGAGGCAAGTCTCTATGCTATCAACTACCCTCTGTTGTCACTTCAGGCTCCACAAGAGGAGTAACAATCGTGATATCCCCCTTGCTCAGTCTGATGCAGGATCAAGTCTCGCATCTGAACAAGTTGAATATCAAGGCTTACTTGTTAAACGGGGAGACTCCGAAGGAGCAACGGCAATGGATTCTCAGTACGCTATCAGGCTTCTCGGCGGAGGAAGATATCGAATTGTTATACATCACCCCGGAAATGGTCAACAAAAGCCAGGCGATTACGAAAAGCTTGGATAAGCTCAATCGCAGTCGGAAGCTTGCTCGCATCGTGATCGATGAGGCGCATTGTGTCAGTCAGTGGGGACATGATTTTCGCCCTGACTATAAAGAACTGGGAGAACTCAGGAATCAGTTACCCGGAGTACCAATGATGGCGCTAACTGCGACAGCCACCGAGAACGTCAAAGTGGATGTTATCCACAACCTAAAGATGGAAGGTTGTGAAGTGTTCTCTCAGAGTTTCAACAGGCCAAACTTGACGTACGAAGTACGGATCAAAAAGAAGGGAACGGAGGTTCTGGCCAGCATAGCCGATACTATAAAGACCTCCTACGCAAACAAATCCGGCATAGTCTATTGCCTGTCGCGCAAGACATGCGAAAAGGTCGCGAGCGGTCTCCGGGATGACTATCGCATTAAAGCAGAACACTACCACGCCGGCATGGATTCAGGAGAACGTGCGAAAATTCAACAGGCTTGGCAAGCTGGAAGGACTCACGTTATAGTGGCGACGATCGCGTTCGGAATGGGCATCGACAAACCTGATGTGCGTTTTGTGATCCATCACAGCATCCCCAAGAGTCTGGAGGGATATTATCAGGAGACAGGACGGGCTGGCCGAGATGGCAAGCGGTCTGGCTGCTACCTCTATTACTGCTACAAGGACTCGAGTACTATATCCAGCATGATCGACAAGGGCGAGGGCAGCAAGCAACAGAAGAATCGGCAGCGGCAGATGCTCCACAACGTCGTACAATACTGTGAAAACAGAAGCGACTGTAGGCGAGTACAAATTCTTGCCTACTTCAACGAATATTTCCGCCGGCAAGACTGCAATGCCTCATGTGATAATTGCAAGTCCGACTCTGTCTTCGAGCTCCATGACTTTTCACAGTACGCTGCCTCTGCAATCAAGGTTGTTCGGCACTTCCAAAGCATCGAAGACAAGGTTACCTTGTCGTACTGTGTGAACATCTTCCGGGGAAGTGTGAAGAGATTCAGGTCTCCACAACACCGGCAGGCCCCTGGCTATGGCGACGGTTCGGACCTAGAGCTGGGTGAAGCAGAACGGTTGTTCCATAGACTTTTGGGCGAGGGAGCTCTTGTTGAAGAGAATGTTGTCAACGGTAGTAAATTTGCCATTCAATATATCAAGGTGGGACGGCGTGCCGCTGACTTCGAGAGTGGGCGGTGCAAACTGAAGCTTGACGTGCGAGTCTCGCCGAATGGAAAGGCCAAGAAGTCCACTATGGGATCACGAGCTGATGGCGGCAACAAAGAGTATCAACCGCAATCTACAAACGTCTCGTCCCCTGTACAGGCGGCAAACCAACGCCGCCTGTCTCGGTTCCGTTACCAAGGAGGTGCAGGCGACACCACGGATGATGACGCAGACAGTGATGGGTTCGAAAGAATCCGAATCGCCGGCAAGCCAGCACAAGAGAAGAGGCGTACTCCTGGGCCGCCAATCACCCAAGATCGCCGATTTGAGCAGTTGGACCCTCTACACAAAGCGGTTGCGGAGGATTTCATGGTCTATGCCAAGAACTATTGCCAGGATGTAAGTGAACGTTCATATCGATGGTTCCATATAAGTCTCTAATAGCCAAACAGCTGGTCATGCAGAAAGGCCTCCGCAACCAACCGTTTACTGACAGCGTCCTGCGCGAGATGGTCATCGTCTTCCCCAAAGGTGAGAACCCTTTCATGATAAGTATGAGCAGAACTAACTCATGTTCAGATATGGCGGAACTTGCCACAATTCCTGGTATCGATCGGGATAAGGTGAACCGATACGGAGGCCAGATCCTGAAGCTCGTGCGCGACACGCAGCGCCGTTATGCAGAGTTGAAGAAAGAGCAAGATGACGCTGATGGGGTGGTTCCGGATCCCAACCACCACAACGTTATTAACCTTACCAGCACCGAGGACGAGTTCAGCGATGGCGGAATCTTTACTGATCATCCTTCTACCTTCAACGTGGACGAGACTTTGTCTAGTCGCTATTTCTCTACCCAGCACACCGCTGACCTCGACTCTGACGAGGAGGATGAGGGCCCTGGAAAGTTAAGTAGACCCCGGGCTCGGAAGCGTCAAACAACCAAACGCCCTCGCCGTCAAAATGCCGCCCCTAGGTCCAGGGCAAAATCGACGGGAGCCCGCAGAAAATCCGGTGATCGTGCTGACAACCGCTCCTCTGCCCCTCGGAAAGCGACCAAAGCGAAACCCTCAACTAGTCGAATAGGGATGATGCCCATCTAATGGCTATCGGAGTGCCGAAAATTTCGGCTTTGTGATGAATTTTATGGTATATGCAGTGGCACTTACGGGCGTTGATTCCTTAATGCATGTATAGGCGTTATGCTAATGGGGATATCAAATGCTGGCATGATGACTGTATTAGGCGCTTGGCTTCTTTTTGACAGAATATATACAGCCTTCCTTCTTTTCATTATACTCTAATAAGCTATGTAACATACGGTGACTCATCATGCAATCATTCAATCGTCTAATGAGCGTCCAAAATCAATCAGTCTCAACCGTCGCGCATCACGAGGATGAAACTGGGCGACTTTAGCTCTAACCAAAAACCGCGAGGCGGCCGATTCTCGGGGCAGATCGATATAGGAGGATCCTGCCTCCAACAAAGCATCAAGTAGATTGCGCATCTCCAAAGCTGCAGCCTCTCGGCGATTAGCTGGTTGATTATCCCCTTGCCCAGACTGGCGCGGGAGAATCTCGTCGATTCGGCGCTGTCCAGCATCCGGATTCGCTGCCTCTGGATTTTTAGGCTTCTTCGGTTTTCCATGGCTCGTATAGCCTAGTTGCAAGGTCGCATCCGAGACCTGGGCGGCGTCACCCACCGTGGGGCCGCCGAGGGCTTCGGCAGCAAGCATGGACGCGAGGGTTTCGTCCACAAAGTTATAGAGGGCAGTCTTCATCTCCTCTGTTGATTGGTCAAGCTCTTTCTGCTTTTCTTCTTCTTGCGCCGCTAGTTCACGCGCTAGCTGGGAAGCGGTCTTCTTCTCCTTGGTCGTCTTCTCGCTGCTTATGGTCTGGATCCGCTTTCGCAGACCATCCCGGATCACTTGAGCGTCTCGGAGATTCGCCTCCTCTGATTTCAAACGCTGATGGTTGGATGAGAGATTTTCTGCCGTCATGGAGACAGACACCTTGGTTTCTTTGACAAGACGCGATGTCTCTTCGAGTGCTAACAAAGAAGGTAAGGGGGAGCCTGAGGCTGGGAACTCGGTCTCTGATTTCAGAAGCGAGTCGTAGGCTCTCTTGGCTCTCTGTACTTGGGCTACGCGCGACCAAGTATCTGTGCCTATTTTGGAGAGATCGAAGGAGTTGACCTCGCGCAGCTGGGCGATGTGTTAGATGTTGGGTTACATGTTTGGGATGTATACAGGGGAGAGTTCTCCAGGGGTGGGTACATACCCTACGCAGGTCATCTTCTTGGCGTTTGACTTGATCTTGAAGTTCTTTTAGAGTCTCGTCCAATTTTCTATTGTACGCCTGTAGAACTGCTGGACTGATTTCTTGGTTCTGGTAGAAGTCCTCGGCGCGTTGACGCTTCTCTGCGAAACGCTGGACTTTTTCGACGGTTTCCTGTGACACATCCATTGCAAATTGGTTTGAGTAAATTAAATGAATGCACCTCTAATTTTAGTCCTCGCTATGCATCCAGTTGTCTCACAAGCCAACTAAACGAGGGGATTTGTATAGACGAATGAGGGATTGGCAGGTGTTTTGCAGGCCGGGAACACGTGAGGGATGTTCCGGAAAGGGGATAGCGCGGAAAGAGCCAGGATGCGCGACTGAACCTCAACTCAACCTTAACGTCGCTTCTCCCTCTTCGTCCTTCACCGCGACAAGCTCGACTTCCTTCACCCATCCACTTCCCCTCTTATCCCCCTTTTGATCATCGCGCGTTTACTCGCCACCTCTATTTTTAACCTGTCGCTGTCGTCTCATCGACCTCTCGTCTCTCCCACGTCTGCTATTTCAGCGTACTTGGGGTGATCGTGTAGAAGACCCGCCCGTCCTCAACGTCTCTCGACCCACGTCGCGTCTTCCAAAGGCAAGAAAAAGGATAGTTTGGGCGTCGGATACTGCTAAAAAGGCCTCGTTTTACTTCTCGTTTTCTTTTTACTCCTCTCCCTTCACGCTTCCCTCCGCCTTCCAACCCATTCGGACCCTGAGCACATCTTCGTCCACCGTCCAGCACCCAATCTCTCCTGCCCTCGTGCCCGACCCGATTGGTTTCCATTTTTCCTTCTTCCCTCTACCTTGCACTGGTTCACTCTGAAGCTTTCTCGCTCCAAGTCCAACCTCCAAGGCCTCGTGGCAACCCCAGACCTTTTCACACTTTCCTCGTCGGCTCTCCTTTCACAGCATTACTTCCCGCACTGTGCACGAGTTCACCAATCTTCCCACATCCTTCCAAGCACCAGAATTCCCTCTCCATCCGATCGCCAGCACCAGCAAGTTTTATTGGGAACTCCTGGTGTACATAGTCGATCAAATAAAGCTGCAGTGAAAAGAAAAGAAGAGCTGTTCTGAAAAGAAGTGAAATCTCACTTGGACACGTCCTGCGTAAGTGAAGCAAGCACAGAAATACACGCACAGTTTAGGCAAGCAAATCATCATGTCTGCCTCTCCGTCTGCGTTGCAATCGACCAAGCGTCCCTTGGAGGACCCTTCCTCTCCCTCCGGTCCTAATGACCAGCCGGAAGCCAAGCGTCCTGCGTTGGACAAAGTAGTAAAGGGCGATGAGTCCGAGGCGTATGCCGATGTGAAGACGGATGCGCCGGCTGCGACTGCTGATGGCCAGGGCGACACCGTGGTCCCCGATGCTCCTAACTCCAAGGGCGCTCAGGAGACACAACCCATCCAGTCGACGGCCTCTCACGCCGAGTCGACCGGTGCCCAATCCGAGCAACACCGTCCCCAGGATGAGTCTAGCTGGATTCACATCCGGGCTGTAATCTCCAGCCAGGAGGCTGCCACCGTCATCGGTAAGGGTGGGGAGAACGTATCCCAGATCCGTCGTCTGTCCGGCGCCAAGTGCACCGTCAGCGATTACTCCCGTGGTGCCGTCGAGCGTATCTTGACCGTTAGCGGCCCCCAGGATGCTGCTGCGAAGGTGAGTTTGAACACGATACAGTTCGGTTTCTTTTTATGTCTGCTAACCCGGATGCTAGGCCTTCGGTCTTATCATTCGTACCTTGAACAACGAGCCCCTTGATGCCCCTTCTACTGCCCAATCCAAGACATACCCCTTGCGTTTGTTGATTCCCCATATTCTCATTGGCTCGATCATTGGCAAGGGTGGGAGCCGTATTCGAGAGATCCAGGACGCCTCTGGTGCACGTCTCAACGCTTCTGATGCCTGCCTTCCCCTGTCCACTGAACGGTCCCTTGTTATCCTCGGTGTTGCTGACGCAGTGCACATCGCTACTTACTACGTTGCCGTGACTCTCGTCGAGCAGCTGACAGAACGCTTCGGTGGCCCCGCCGCCTCGGCCTATGCCACTCGCAGCGGCGGTCCGGCTGGCGCTGTGCCCGGCGGCATGCAGGTTGTGCCGTACGTGCCTCAGCCCGCTGGTGGACAGTACGGCCATCCCGACACCTTCAAGCGTCACCACCCTCACCCCAACCGCGGCGCAGCCGGCGGATATGGTGTTCCCTACCTCCAGGGCCCCGCCGCGCAAACTCCTGTAGCCCAGCCCTCGATGCCCTACGGCGCTACTCCCCACACCCCGTATGCCGGCGCTGGTCCCCACCAGCCCGCGCCCTATGGTGCGCCTCAGGCGGCCGCCGCACAGGCTCGTGGTGGGCCGACGCCTGCCGCTCCCGTCGGCGGTGTCATGCCCGGCCAGCCACTGACTCAGCAGATCTACATCCCCAACGACATGGTTGGCGCCATCATCGGAAAGGGAGGAGCCAAGATCAACGAGATCCGGCACCTGAGTGGCAGTGTTATCAAGATCAACGAACCCCAGGAGAACAGCAACGAGCGTCTGGTCACGATCACCGGTACCCAGGAGTGCAACCAGATGGCGCTCTACATGCTCTACTCGAGACTTGGTTAGTATCCCTCCATTGCATCTCACCCCATATATGACAAGTGACCAATTCTAACGATCCCACAGAAAGCGAGAAGCATCGGATCTAGGCTAAGTAAATTCATTCTGTTTCTGTTCCCACCGACGAATCGGTTTGCTTGCTGTCTTTTTGCTTTGCGACAACTCCCAAAAGTCGTCGTCCGTTCTTATCCCGGTGGCTCTGATGGTTTGGTTTGGGTTTTCGTCTCTATATTCTTTTGTTTCTTTCGGGGGTCTGCGCGTTTTGCTTCTTTATTACCCTCAATTTCTTTTGTGTGTACTGTATTTATTTGGAAAAGCGCTGTCCAACTAATATTACCTTTCCCATAACCCCGTCCCCAACCTCTACACTACATTACACATACACAACCCATACACCCTATATATGACCCATTAAAATCACTCCGCCTTCTGAAACCTCACATGCCTCATAATCCCAAACCCTCCCTCCCCCTTCTCCACATCCCCCCCATCCCCCTTCAACATCCACTCCCTAATCGGCCCGATCCCCCTCCCAAACGCCTCCGTCCCCTTAATCTTCATATGCGCCTCCACGCTCTCCCACCCCGCCAACACCACCATCCCAAACGCCTCCCCGCTCGCACTATCCCCATGCTTCCGCGTCCCAGGCCGTTCCACCTGCCCCATGACCAACCCTCGAGGCCGTTTCCCTTCCTCGAGATTCTCCACCAGCTCGGTCCGGAACGCCACGAGGCTCTCATGCAGTTTCTTCGTCTCGTCCGCAGACATGGAGGTCGGGAACCACGGCGTGAAGATCTCGGTTACGGGCGAGGCGGATAGATCGTGGGTCTTGTGTGCGGGAGGGGGAGGGGAGAGGGTCGCGTAGAAGGTTGTGAGTGGGGTGGATGGGGCGAGGTAGGGTGTTAGGGAGGGAGTAAGGGTTGGGGAGGTTTGGGCGTCTTTCCAGTCTATTCCATTTCATGTTAGTTGGGTTGGGTTAGGGTAGGTTGCTATAGGTAGGAAAATATATAGAGAGAGGAAAAGGGTATGGAAGCTTTATTGTGCCTTGAAGGATAGGATTGGGGGGGGGGATTAAAACGCACCAATCACCCAAACAACCACATTCTCATCTTCGATTGAGCGGCCCCAAGAGGACCCTAGGTATCCGTTCTGGTGTTTGGTGTTTTTGAAGAGCTCTAGGAGCGAAGCGCCGGCTTCGTTGTTGGTGGGGTCTTCGGGTTTGATGGCGGGGTTGAGGTGGAAGAAGATGAATTCGGTGACGCCGGACATGTTTCTTTCGTTTATTTATTTGGACTTGGTATTACTTGTTGTAGGTTCAGGTAAGCAGATGATAGAGGGAGTAGTTTGGGGGTTGTGGTGCTGTGGTGCTGGAGAAGAGGGGGTTTATAGTAAGCAAGTAGTAGGTAAGCTTGAGCTCGGGGCAAGAAAGTTTAAAATGATAAGAAACAAAGAAAGACGAGATGGGGTAACGTCACTGCCGCATGATGTCAGTGGTTGGTTGATTGATCTGGTGCCTTAGGCATGAATACGAACTATACAGTAATGTGGGCAAGTATGCAATGGCAGTGAACATCACTCATTAGTTTAAGGATGAATCGGATCTATGTACATAATAACGCTACCAACATCCAATGGCCGGACCCGCTGTTTTTTCATGGTTCAAGAACTCATAGTCAAGGGAAAAACAGAATAGTAATAGAAAAGCAGCTAATCCTACAGATCGTCCACTCCGCGCACCTTGGACTTCTTCTCTCCAATTGCCTTCTTCAGACTGCCCACAATATGGTGCCGGCGTTGCCGCTTCGTCTTCCACTGCGCACTCTCCTCCCGGGTGACGAGCTCTCCGACTCCTTCCACTTCACGAAGTCGACTAGCCCGCGCTGAGCCGTTGATGCTGGATCGGAAGCCTCGTGTAGCCGAGTCCGGGGTATGGTATGCGCTGTTGGGTCCGTCGGATCCGGGGGTGGTTGGGAATCGTCCCATGCCCTTTCGCGGGGTTGTGAAGGGTGAGCCTTCCCGGCTGGCTGCTGCCGGGGCCGAGGCGTCGATGCCTAGTTTCTTCAGCTGCATCTCCAGGACGTCAATGTCGCTGCGCTTGCTTTCGGCCATGTTGGTCATCGTAGCAATCGTAGACGTCACAGCTTCCACGGTCGGTCGCCTCATAGCTTGCCGGGAGCCAGTGCCATCGGGACGAGGAGCGTCGGCTATCTTGGCGCGAAGGAGGGACACTGCCGACTCGAGATCCGCCAGCTTGGCCTGGATGTCAGTCGAGGCAGTGCGGAGGTCTTGCTGCAGGTTCGCCTGCTCTGCTGAAAGAGGCGCAGAGACGATAGCTGCTGCATCGGTGTGGGCATCCAGAGTCTTCCGGATGCTCGCGCACTGGCCCCGAAGCGTCAGAATATCCTTGCTCAGGAGCTCTTGGCAGGCCTTCAGCTTGTCCTCGACCCCTTGCACCCGCTGCTGTTCAAGAGAGCCGGCAAGCATGACAACAGCATCGTCCAGTTTCTCAATATCGCAGAGCAGTAGCTTCTCGTCAAGGATAGCAGCTGGGTGTTCCTTGTTCAATAGCTCGACCCAATCACCACTTTGCGATTGCTT